GTTGTTGTTGTTGTTGTTGTTGTTGTTGTTGTTGTTGTTGTTGTTGTAAACTCACAGCATTATATAACAGTCTGATTTCATCACAAACTGTCACTGATGGGATTAGCAGTCTTTGAACCAGAACGTGACCGGAAGTGGTCATTAGTGCGCATGCGCAGACAGGTTCCTGTTCACCTCCAGGACCTCCAGCTGCGGTTCTACCGGACCAACGGCCCCGTTCTGCCCTCACAGCCGCTGCTGCTGCCTGGTATGTCCGCTGCCGGTGTCCTCAGGAGCCGCCGAGTCCTCCAGCAGCTGCTGCCCGGCCTCCTCGCCTCCATGTCCCGTCGCTACAGCCTGGATGTCGCCGCTCCTCTGCTCCGGACTCAGGGCTACGTTGACGGCAGCTGGATCTCCGCAGCCTCGGTCTTCCCGGTGTTGGACCCGGCCACCGGACAGGAGCTAGCCCGGGTTTCAGACTGCGGTCCGGCGGAGGCCAAGCAGGCAGTGGAGGCGGCTCACCGGGCTTTTCAGACCTGGAAGGGGACAGCAGCGAAGGTAGGAGGAGGCTGGACCGCTCCGCCGAACTCTGTTCAAAAAACCCAACATTTTAAAGATCAGCGGAACCGGTCCGCTCGGTTCTGTTCCACCAACTTCTCCATACTTTGTATGATTTATTCATAAAAACAGTTTATTTCGGCTGCAGCACAAAACCCTGATCTGCTTCCTGCCTTGTAGAAACACTTTTATAAATATCTTGATTTGCTATTTGAGCTGAACCATGAAAACTTTATTAGATCAGGATTAAAATGACGTCATACATCAACTAGATTTTGTTCATTGCAATAATAGTTAAAAGTTGTGTGTCACTGGCTTGTAACAAATGAATTATTGGACAATGAAATTAATTCAGATATTTCTGTTGCACCTCTGACTGACTGTAATTTTATTTCTTTACAATTAAAACCCCTAAACTGAAAGCCAGGCTCAAATAAGTACTGGAAATGTAACTCCAGTCTTCTTAAAAATGACACACACTGCCAGAAAAAAAAAAAATTCTATATATAAAGGACTCTGAAGAATTAAATAGACCAACCCAAAAATGGGAATACCTAAAATACAAAATTAGACAAATTTTATTTCATTCAGTGAACAAAAAGAAACATCAGGAAGAAGAACTGAATATTATACAACAACTCAATATATATTGCAATAAACCAAATCCCTCAGTAGAAGATAAACAACAAATATCAACCCTCCAACTGAAACTAGATGAAATGTGTATAATAGACCAAGGAGCCTTTATCAGATGAGGAGCTGAGTGGACTGAGGAGGAGGAGAAAAACACAGACGACAACAACAAAATGCAATTAAATCCTTGATGATAAATAATGTAGAAACTAATAATGAAAAGATAAAATCAACAGAGATCTTTACATTTTATAACAACTTATATACCTCCAAATTCTCTGAACAAAAGTGTCACTTTTCTTAAAACAAACTGAAACATTCATCCCTAAAATAGAAGATAATTACAAACAAATTTGTGACAACAACAACACAACAGAAGAACTTAATGAGGCTGTAAATCAGTTCTCATTGAACAAAGCACCTGGTCCACATGGACTTACAGGGAAGCTGCTACATAAAGTTTTTACAGACATCTTTACAAATTATACTCCACCTCCGACAGTGAGACAAGGACTTGTTACATCCATCCCCACCAGAAGACCTTTTACACTTAGAAATTCAGATTATAAATTACTTACTGGTACTTATATTTTTACCATGTGTCTCCAAACAGGAGTCTCCCAGTCTGAAGGTCCATCCACAACAATGTTAGACTGGTACTGGACCTGATCGATTGTAGGGAGTGAATTAACGATGATTGCTTTATTCTTTTCTTAAACTTTTATAAAGTCTTCGTCTCTGTGGAACAACCATTTTTATTCTCACTTCTTGAACTTTTAGGTTTTGGAGAAAAATGTATTAATTTAATAAGAAGTCTACATCAAAACATTAGTATTTGTGTAATTCTACCTAAAGGCACCACGGTGAGATTTAACATTAAAGTTGGAACATGGTTGTCCTATTTCCCCATTTCTTTTTACCTTAGCTGCAGAAATGTTGGCTATCTATCTAAAAAACTGTCCAGACACTGAGAAATCAGACATTTTTGGTACAGATTTAGCCAGTTAGCAGATAACACTAATGTTTTTTTTTTTTTGAAAAATCAGTCAGGTCCCATAGTAATTGATAAAATAAAATGATTTTCAGAGGCCTCAGGGCTAACACTATATTTAAAGAAATGTGAGCTTCTATCCATTCATGATACACCCCTTAAAGAAATATCAAATATTCCAGTTAAATCTGAAATAAAATACATACAATACAATACTGTTGAAAACAAAATTAAAGAATGTAAATCCAAACTTAACTTGTGGCTCCAATGTGAGGTTTCCATTTTAGGATGAATTTACTTATGAAAAGTTTGTCTAGATTAATTTATTCAACCTGTAGCATTGCTGTCCCAAACAGCTTTTAATTAAGTCTATCAGTCAAATGAACATGAACTTCATCTGGACAAACAGACCACCCTACCTGAAAAAGGTCACATGATCAAAGAAATTAAAGATGGGGGTCTGAAAGTAATTGATTTTGAGTGCCTTAATGGGACCCTAAAGATTAATTGGTTGAAATCCTGGATTAAAAATTCTGAATTATTTTGGTATTATGTCCCCAACTATGTTTTTAACAAAATGGGTGGATTAAAACTACAACTTCTAACTGATTTTAATAAACATAAATTGCCCATTAAACTGTCAGAGTTCCATAAACAAGTGTTGTTATAGTGGAAAATGCTTTAAGTATTCGCCACACTCCACCATCATATGGAATAACAGATTCATACTCTATCGCAATAAATCACGTTTTTACAAAGACTGGATGGAGAACAACATTTGGTCTATTGTTCATTTAATGGATGCTAATGGTTACATATTAAACTATGATGTAGTTGTGTGATGTAGGGTTGGGCATAATCGTATCATCTGCAATTAATCGTCAGAAAAACATTAATCGATTATTTTTTGTCACTTGACGATTTCTACGATTAACGCCACCAGGCAGACTGACTGGAGATTTCCCCGGTCAGTCCACTCGGTGCTCCTCTCCACTTCAAATATGATGAACATTTAAACAAAAGTTCTGTCATTTATTTATCAACACAATTTAAAATTTGAAGTATAGCCTGAAGTCTGTGATTTTGACACAGTTTGAAAAAGATTTTTACCAAGAGCAAATCGTTCCCAATAAATTGGTCATGTGACTAGGACATGAGGGTGTCCAGGGACTCCAGGGGATTAATCGTCAAATTAATCGTTATTGGCTAAATACCACAATTAATCGTGATTAATTTTTTTTGCCAGTATCACCCAACCCTAGAGTGAAGTAAAATTTCTATCCCCCCAAAATGGATTTTACCGGATTACTTAAAGCATTACCAAAACAATTACAAAATATAACAGCATATCATCCCATAACCCCACAATTAGCCACTCTATCTATTAATGGTATTTCATTCATTGAGAAAAAATTCAATAACTACACAATTAGAAGCTGTCTAAATGATACTTTATTCCCTGGGGAAATAAAGAAAAATAACATACTTTGCAAATCTGAAAATAAATCTATTGAAAAATTAAGAACTTTATACTTAAAACTCCCCAGTACAACCAAAAGCTAAAGAAACACACTTTAAGATTTTAAATACAATTTACCCTTCCAAAGAGCTACTAAGAAATCATTTCAGTAATGATGACAATAACTGTTGTTTTTGTGAAAAGGATATAGAAACAATAGAGCACATTTTCAACCTGACACAGTTTTCAGCTTTTGAGTCCCTGGAGAGAATCCAGCTGTCACAGTGACTGACAGCTGTCAATCACCTTCTACTCACTCCCGGACGGGCAGAAACTGTTAGTTCCTAAAAGCTTAGAGAATCTATGGTCCGCCCTTCAGAAGGTTAGATTAGAAAAAGAAATTATCAAGGAAAGTGTTAGTTTCAGAGCTCGCTGTGCCTCCTGAAACAAAACAAAGATTACTGCTGCTG